GCAACCTGCTTTTCTTCGTCGTGGCCTCTGTGCATCACACATATGGGTGATTCGCAAGCTTACCACAGTCAGAGGAGGGAGGTGTCATCAGCGAAGAACGGATGAGAGAACAGCTCTACCAAAACAGCAGTCTTGTCTGGCATGTACATCAAGCCGATAGTGCTTGGCGAAAGTACATGGACCAGTCCAGATCGCAGCTCTGCAGATGTCTTGCAGCGAAACTCCTGCGGCAAAAGCGGATGAGGTCGCTACTGCTCGTGTAGAGTGGCCACTTGGAAAGACAGATAAGTATTTTCGATAGCTGATAAGCCAGGACAATAGTCTGGACGATCCAATTAGAGAGTCTCTGAGATGATATTGGTAATCCCTTTTCATGCTTGGAGTATTTACCAAAAAGTCTATTAGTAGTATGAAAAGATTCAGTGCGGGATCTGTAAAAGGTTAAGCAGCGGCGAACATCAAGCACGTGTAGAGCACGTTCTATCGGGGTCGACGGCGATGGAAAGAATGCCGGCAGAACGATGTCCTGATTCAGGTGGAACGGTGTGGCCACCTTGGGTAAAAAGGAGAAATCCATCCAAGGGATGACTTTTTCCTTATGGAAGTTCAGAAATGGTGGGTCTATGCGGAGAGCACAAATTTCGCTAGCTCTCCGTGCTGATGTAACTGCTATGAGAAAGGCAGTTTTCCATGACACCAGGCATAAGTCCACAGTTGCTAAAGGCTCGAACGGTGGTTTGGTAAGCGCTTGGAGCACTACAGAAAGACTCCAGGTTGGCATGGCAGGGCGAATAGATGGATGTAAATTTTGTAGTCCCTTAATGAAACGCTGAACCAGCAGAAGACTGATAATCCGTGGATAGTGCCACGATAATGGGATATAGCGGCTGCATAAACTTTGATGGATGATGGTTTAAGTCCCTCATGATGCAAATGCAAGAGAAATTGTAAAATATTGGTGACTAAAGCCGTTCCAGGGGAAAAAGAATGGCACTCTGCAAAAGAGGAGAATCTTCTCCATTTAGCCATATGGGAACGACAAGTGGACGGTCTCAATGCAGATTCGAGAATTGCCTGAATTTCTCTGTCCGTAGGCATCGGTACTGTGGCAGTTGCTGTCGAAGTCGGGGCCGCATATACCGTCTGTTGAGAAAGGTCACCCGTAGGGTGAGGTGTCCCCAGTACCGACTCAGTGGCGTGAATCAGGTGATCCGCCATGCCGTCAGCTTCAGAGAGAGTATGTCCGGATGACGGATTGCTCCTCCTTGTTGTGTTAACACATGCGGAAGAGTTGGTAGATGAAGGAACGTTCCTCTGGACAGCAGTAAAAGAGTGGCAAACCATGGTTGTCTCGGCCACCACGGAGTCACTAGCATCCTCGTGGCATTGTCCTGGGCTATTTTCGCAACCACTCTTGTCAGGAGTGGGATCGGGGGAAATGCATAAAAAGTCATGTTGCTCCAAGGGACCATAAGAGCGTCCCCCATCGATCCCGGCCCAATGTCCGCTCTGGAACAGTATAGGGCACACAGGTTGTTCTCTCAAGTGGCGAACGGGTCCACATCCAGATAACCCTACAAGCGCAAGAGTTTCTCACAAATTTGTTTGTCCAACTCCCATTCGTGGGTTGTTGACATCTGTCTGCTTAATGTATCTGCTTCGACGTTGTCGGTTCCAGCCAGGTGAACTGCCATAAGCACGATGTTCCTCGGTATGCACCAGTCCCAAATGTCCATCGACAGGCGTGCTAAGGCTGGGGATTTTGTGCCCCCTGCTTGTTGATGTAGAAAACTGCCACTATGTTGTCTGATGCAATTTGGACAACTTGACGGCATAACACAGTCTCGAAAGCCTTGAGGGCGTTGAAAATTGCCAGAAGTTCCAGGAAGTCGATATGTTTCCTCACGTCTCGTCGGTTCCAAGTACCTTGGACCCAAAGTCCCGAACATGCTGCACCCCATCCAAGGAGGGATGCATCGGTGAACAGAGTTGTTGTTGTCTGAGGTGGTTGAAACGGGGCGCCGATCGACAGGTTGTCTGTGATGGTCCACCACGTTAAAGTGTGAAGGATTGCAGACGGAATCCAAATTGGCTTCGTGGCAGGATCTTGTTGCGGTTGAAAAGCAGCTTTGAAAAACAGTTGTATGGGTCGCATACGTAGTCTGGCATATGGGACAATGGCAATTGCAGCAGCCATATGCCCCAGTAGTCTCGGAATGGATAAGGCTCGGACCGTTCCGTGTAGCCGAATCCGATGAATATGGCTGCATAAGGCATTCTGACGTTCCGGTGGGAGGAAGGCTTTTTCCTGCGTCGAGTCGAGTCGTGCCCCGATGAAATCGATGACCTGTGTGGGAATATGGGACGATTTGTCACGGTTAATGCAGAGACCAAGAGCATCGAATAAAGCACAGGTCGTTTGTATATCAGACAGGAGAGCTTGCTCGGATTGCGAGACAATTAGCCAGTCATCTAAGTATGGGTATATCTGTATTCCCCGTGTCCTCAAGTGTGCGCATACCGGCGCCATACACTTTGTAAAGACTCGAGGGGCTGTGGCCAAGCCAAAAGGTAGGGCATTAAACTCGAACAGGTCAGATCTGACAGTAAAACGTAGAAAGCATCTGTGTGAAGGATGGATGGAAATATGAAAATAAGCATCCTTTAAATCCAGTGAGGCGAACCAATCCTCTCTTTTCAATAACGGAAGGATATTCCGCAAAGTGGTCATCCAGAACTTCTTTGGTTTGATGTACTTATTAAGAGTTTGTAAGTCCAGGATCGGACAAAGACCACTGTCCCTTTTCGGGACCGTAAAATATCTGGAATAGAATCCATGCAATCCTTCCGAGCAGGACAACTGTCGAATCGCTCCCTTGAGAAGTGGCTGGGAGACCTCATAGCATAGTACCGATGAAGAAGGTGTGAAGCGGATCAGGCTCGAAGGAGGGATAACATTGAATTCTATCCTATATCCGAACTGGATGATATTTAACACCCACCTATCAGATGTAATGGACTCCCAAATGGGGAGTCAGCCCTGGAGCCGGTCCCCAAAAGGGAGAAGGGAAGGTGGTGTTGGGAAAGAGAGGATGGTTTGCCCAAGCCGTCAATGTGGGCGTTTATCGGTATCGAATTGCCAACGGCCTTGGGAAAACCGCTGTTGTGTTTGCTGTCTCCGACGCTGCCGTTGTTGATATTGCTGGCAAGGGTAGTTTTGCTGGCGTGGATAGTATGGTTGGTTCCGGTAGGAAGACCGAGGCCACTGCCACTTACGTTTTTGTGGGAGCTCCATGCGGCGTGCAGTTAGGCGTGATTCGTGAATCGCCTTTAATTTGCAATCGGTCTTCCGGTGGAACAGACCAATACCGTCAAATGGCATTTCCTCGATTCTGCGCTTCATCTCATCGGGGAAATTACAATTATGCAGCCACGCATGTCGGCGTAACGCGATGGCGTTGATGAGGGCCCTTGAATCGGTGTCTACATGATGACGAGTGGTAGACAACTGTTGCACCGCCACCTGCATCGCCTCCTTAATGAAAACCCTAGCAAGGTCCGCTTGGTGGTCTGGAAGGGAGGAAGCGACGTTATCCAGCTTCTGCATGATAAAGTACTGGTAACGTGCCAGTGTCACTTCGTAGTTCAATATGCGCACACCGAGTCCAGAGGCCGCAGAGACTCGGTGTGCAAGCATATCGATTTTCCTCCCTTCCTTGTCCCGAGGAGCGGTATGTCCCCTGGACTCCCTGCCCTGGGAGGATTCAACCACAAAAGAGTTCGGTTTCGGGTGACGGAGCAGGAAGGGAATGTCATTGTCACGAACTCTATACATGGCCTCATATCTGTGGGAGGTCGCTTGTGGTTGGGCTGGTTGGTCCCTGGGCTGGACCATAGCCTGGCGGAGTGTAGTTATAAGTAGCAGAGCTATGGATGTGGATTGCTCTCCCCGAACGACATCATAAAACTGATCTGTGGAGGGGCCTGGCTGTTGATGAGCTTCGATTTCAAGCAAACAAACTAAGCGGGACATGAATTCTGTGAAAGAGACATGTGGTTCGTCGGGTGAAGCAGGCCCTTGGAACGTGACAGCCACATCAGGGGATGTGGAGTCAACCTCCGAATCCTTGGAGTCTTCCACGTAATGTGGCTGGGTTTTGCTTGAGGAGGAGGAAGTTTCAGGGGAGGTTGGGCGCCTTGTCTCCGTACGCCTGGAGGTGGATGGTACGTCCCTTGGGACCGATGGTGATCTATGCTCTCGAGGAAAATAGGGATATGGCTGGTAACCACCCCAGCCAGGGGGAGCACCATATCCCGGGATCAACCACATCTCGATGCTCGGATAAAAGGCTGCAACCTCTGGGAGGTAATGGTGAGGCCACATGAGGTTCAGTCGGTGGCATAGGTGTTGGTGAGCGGTCCCTCAGCGGGGAGTCTCTGATTTCGCCATCAGATATGGACTCCCGAAGCGGCTCCTCCTGTTGCTGGGGAGGCACGCTCTCAGGCCGAGTGGTTGGCCTGGGGGATCCCGGTAGAGTCACCTGCATAATGAGTTGCAGGGCTGGTCCCGAGGGGGTTGGTACCGTGGCAGCCGTCGGTACCGAAAAGCCCGATGAACCTGAGCCTCGGTGTTTTGGGCGATCAGGTTTCTTGCTGTTGTGAGCGGGCTTATCCACCTTCTCCTTCCTCAACTTCTTATGAGTGGAAGGTTTATCCAGACTGGTATGCTTGCGCTTCTCCTGTTTCTTAGCCGGGGGAGAAGGCAGCAACTGAGCCCCCACAGAAGCGGCACCTTCGTCCGAAAGACGCTGTGGAGGATTGGCAGAGGTCGAGGAAGGATGCTTCACCGAAGCACTTGCGGTGGAGAAGAAGCGCTGGGGAGGTGCAGACGAAGAGGAACCAGGCCGTAGGAGCAGTTGGTCAAACTGCATTAATGCCTGATCCCATAGGAGCTTCCTGAGATGATTCTTGTTTTTCCGTGCCTGCTTGGTAAACGCCAAGCAATGACCGCATTTGTCGGTCCTATGCCCCTCGCCGAGGCAGAGGAGGCATAGATCATGTGGATCGGTCAGCGACATTTTAGATCCACATTCAATACATTTGCGGAATGCCGCCCACTGCGCCATCGTGGAAAAATGAAGAAAAGAGGACAGTAAAGAGGGTAAGATAATATTTTTGTTTTTTTTATATATAGAGAGAAGAGAATTTAAGAAGAAACAGACAGAATCGGGAAGAAGAAAAAACTTGGAGCAAGAGGAGTTTAAGGTTTTAGAGAAAAAACAACGAAGAGGCACAGATCTATAGCGAGAGACGAACAGGCACGAGGCACAGTGAACGGCGGTTGCAAAGACTGAGTAAAATGGCGGACACTCCGCTCTATTTATACCATGAAGGGGGAGGGGAGCGGAGTTTCCTGCCAAAAACCATTAGCTTTCTAATCTTCCAGCCTAGGCACTGCGCAGGCGCAGCAACCCATATGTGTGATGCACAGAGGCCATGACGAAGAACCAAAATGATCAAGGGGCAGGAGCAACTTTCCCTTTGACGAAAGGTTGCAACATTTGGGGCTTTTTAGCCTAGAAAAAAGTCAGGTAAGGGGGGCATTATACAAGTGAATACAATTGCAGATGATGATGATGATGGAGGAAGAGGAGGAGGAGGAGGAGGAGGAGGAGGGGTTGATATCTGTCATTATGCAACAATGAATGGTGGAAGGTTCAGAATAAAACAAGTGTTTCTTGAGGCAGCACACAGTTAAACTATGAAATTCAGTGCTGCCAGATACAGTGATGGCCACTCACTTGGACAATTAGATCCAACAAATTCATGGAGGATGAAATTATGAATGACTATATATTACATCCAGTACTGGAAGCAGTGTGGCTTCGCATAGCAGTTGCTTGGGAATATAAGTGGGAGGGGCTATTTCACTCATATCCTCCTTGTGGGCAGCCACCATGGGAAGAGAATGCTGGACTAATTGGGCATTTAATTTGATTGAGAATAGTTATTTTCATGCTTTTCTGTTAGGCCTCATAACCAAGTGATAGCAGCTTGATATGACAATTCCAAATAACTATCAGCTATTATCCCAAATAATGGAAATCTGCTTATTTAAGCCAAGAATTTGGTCTGTGCTGAATCAATATTGCATTGCAGCTGTACAGTAAAGCCCTGCCATAAACACTGTTACAACCAGGAAGAGAGCTTAATAAAGAGAGAATTCTAATGTAAAATGTGATACTTACACATGGTACCCATGTAGCTAGACTCATGTGCTAATGATGTGTAAATAGCCAAGGCAATCTGGCCAACAAAGCCTCCAGGCAAACAAATGCCACAGTAATACATTTTCTTGAATGCCCAATATCACATTTAAAATTGAGTCATGGAAATAGGTCCAAAGGAAAGACATGCAAGAGAGAAAGCATGTGCCAGCGACGGGGTGATACTCACTAGTTAGCGATGTTTGCACAGTCTGCTGTTTGGATACCTAAGTTGCAGGTGTGTGTGTGTGGTGGTGGGGATGTGGTTCATGTTAAAATATACCAGCCAAAATGCTGGGAGTTTTTCAGTTTTGGGTTAGTAGAGTTAGCTCTGTGAAATTTCTGCACTTGCATAGTGAAATGATGGAATACTCACCATAATTTTGGATGTTTGGATATTATGGATGTAAACTGGATCAAGGGGCATTCAAGATCATTCTATAAAAAAATACATCAGAATCCCTGCCTGCTGCTCATTTAGCTATATATACTTCCTGTTTTTCTGAACTTTGGGAAGCTTCAAAGTATTGGATGTCCTCCTGCATACATATTCTATTGTATCCTGAAACAAATGGCATATTTGGCTGACTGGAAGGAAGAAGAAAGCAATAGTCTTGTTATCTTTGGAGTCAAGTCAACATACAGTTCTGGAAGTGATATTACTGTGTTAGATCCAAAGATGCCCTTCCAGATGCAGAATATTTCTTCAGTCCATGGAAGGGCTGGCTGCCTCACCTCTCATTCTAGTATACTGCACAAGCAAGGCAAAACCAAATCTAAAGATGTTATTTCACTAGTGTAACTTTGGTAAAAGTGGAACCATGGAAACCAGCATAGAAGCATCCACTAGCACAAGAAGTTACAGAACAATGTGGACAGCTATTTCCCCCTGTTCACGTATAGTTGAATCCAACCCAGTGGCATAGGTCCAAATAAACATGAGTAGAAGGAGAAAACATGGGTACTGCTCCATTAACTCTTGCATGAATGCCAGCAACGGACTTCTTGCAGTGGACCAGTGTATTAGCTGAACTGCAGTACAACAAACACACTGAATAAAGACATAGGCTATAATGGGGTATAGAAGGGCCTTGAAAAAAGGTTGTACCAAGAACTTGTCCGAACCGAAGCACTTCTCCTGATCTGGTACAGAGGGAGCAGCAGGCAGAATGTGGCTGGTGGTCTGTGAAGTGGCTCCAGACAGGCATGTTGGGCCCAAAGGACGGCACCAGACCTGCTGTTGGCATGTTGCCTTAGATGTGTTTGCTGAAAGCCAATTCGTCTTTGGGCCACAAAAGGTCCTCCACCCCTCATATTGATTCGTTTAGCCATAATACTTAGGAACTGTGCAAGATTATCACCCTTTGCATATTATGCAGAACTAACAAGACCTGCAACAAAATGCTGCAATGTATTACACAGGAATGCACCTTCAGGTTTCAAGCCAGATAAACATGCTTTTTTTCACCAGACCAGCCAAACTGCCACTGCAGAGTCATTTCTCCCTCTTCCCTTTCAGTTTTGAAGATCACCATGATTCATGTTGCACTGTACCCACAGTTATGCCAAACCACAGCTTGCTTCTGTACGGTTTCAAACAATGGTTTTAAACTATGAATTAGCTTGAATGGCACTCTTTATTCAAAACAAAAATGTTTGCAAATTTATAATGCTGTGAAACACATGCACTAGCGTGTTTGACATACAGCCAACACATGCACTATGGTGTTTGAGCCTTCCAATTATACAGAATGGAAGGTATAGAGGAACACTGTACTTGATGATCTAATCTCCGGTTTGTATATTTATTTAGCTAGCTAGGTTCTACTGTAAATTAATTATTAGGATGGCTTAAAGGGTCAAGAAATACAAAAACAGTGATAATACATTTAACAAAACATATAAAAGTAGTGTAAAATCACAAAAAGGAAACAAAAGATGAACCAAACTAAAGGAATAGGGAAACAAAAAGGAATATGCCACAAAAATGATGCTAAAAGAGGCATTAAGCATCTATGGGGAGAGCATTCTAGAGCTCAAGTACCACCACTGAAAAACCCTGGTTTTCCCCAGCAAACAGCCACCACACCTCACCTTTTGGTACACTTGAAGAAAG